CCTGCTGAAGTGCAGTGAGCTGTTGCTGGCTCAAGCCTTGTCCTCAAGTGAAAGGCAGTGTTTGAGACCCTGCACCTAGATGTGAAGGGGGAAATCAAAGGGAAGGGGGAGCAGAGCAGCGCTTGGTGAAACCCAGACAGCTGCATATGCATGACTGGTGAGTAAATGCTGGATACTTACTGCCATGAAGGGGGATATGTATTTAGAAATCCAAAAGGAACGACCGTCAGCACGCTTTGGTAGCTGAACTATCCCGTGCTCATCTTCAGAGGTCTTTGAAGACTGCTTGAAAAATCAACCTTGTTCAGCGCAGCCAAAGTCAGAACGTGGCTGGTAGCATTTGACAAGAGCACCCTGCATCATATTATTTTCCCTAAGGATCTGCGCTGGCTACCCTGGGAGAAGTAGGGTCAGATACGCTCATCAGACAAGACATGGGGATGGCAGTGGTTTAGAAACAGGACTAAATAAGCCTTCAAGTGCCTTCCAACCCTATAATGCCTGATACCACTGTACTCAGGATTACAGGCCTCTCAGCTACAAATTGCTGTTGCACCAGTAGCATGGAGAACCTCAATACCCAAGCAAAATGCTTTTTACCCCCATCCCCGAAAACCCAACCTTTACTCCCATCCTCCAAGAAATCCTACCAACGTAATAAAAGATTGGAAGTCATAATCGAAGGATAAAATGGCAACTTTATGAAGTTTGACTGAAGCAGATGGCTACTTAAGTCAAGGGTTTGGAGGAGATGCAGCGAGTGACAACGCCTGCTGCACGTCCCCAACCAGGCACGTGAGATTCAAAGTCGTAACATGGAGGGTGGAGGTGGTGCCCCAATTTTTCATTGTGCAGGGGTACAGTGCCTACGGCCACAGGCCTGATCCTTGACTCTAGCTACCAGCACAATGCTGGTTAATTAAAAAAAAAAATCCAGGTTTTGAATGAATGAGCAAATACCTTTGTGCTTGTGAGGAAGGCAAGATGCTGGCCACCACTCAGGCCAGGAAGGGGGCCTCGGAGAAGGTGTGCTGGTGGAGAGATGGGTTGCTTTATACACGTCTCAGCTGAGGGCAAAGGCCATCTTTTCGTTTCAGTGTCCAGCACAAGGGAGTCTTGCTCCGTGCCTGGGGCTCCCAGACATTGTTGCAATACAAATAAACTCTCTGGCTTCCTACTTCCAGTTAAAGCCACTGCTGTGGAAAAAACAGTGAATAAGTAAAGCCCTGCCCTTCAAGCAGTCGTTCGAAGCCTTTTGAGGAGCAAGATTTTAATTTTTAATTTAATTTAAAGATGCAGTCCTCTGGGTAAATCTCCCACATTTCAATTTACTAAGGAAGGGGTAATTACTTATTGTTTGCCCTCCAAACTCACAGCCAGTCTCTGGCATCCTGGATGATTGAAGCATCAAGGTATCTGCGGGCATCAAGCTTTTCAGCCCTTAAAACTATTTTATCGATGGCAGCACAGACACTAGCAAAAGCATGGGCAGTAATATTGATTTGCCAGACTAAAAGATGTATTGCTTTTGGCAAAGGGGGTCCGACGTTTTAATTGCTGGAACATACTGCATGCTAGGGTCACTTCCTGAAGAGAGGGTGGAAACCTCTTTGGTCTTCTCTGTGCTTGCAACCATGCCTGTGTCAATCTAACTTCAGACATTAAGTGCCAACCTCAACCGTCTCCAAATGCTCTTTTCCATCATTTGCTCAATAAAAGCATGCTAAATATTACTGGTGATATACATGACAGTATATTCCAGACTGCAACAGGAATTTTTACTCATAATTGTGAAGCACGGTATTTAGATACAGTGGGACTGGCATGCATTCAGACATGCGCATAGTCGACTCAAAGCTCGACATCAAATCTATTACTACACCGTTTTTACTTATTCACTATTTCTTCCATTAAGTATTTTCCTCCCATTGGAAAAGAAAAGACAGGATCCTTTCACTGAGAGATGCATCTCTCCTTTTGTCAGCTTTAGTGCCTACTAGAAAAAATAATGCCGTCTCGATTTCGGGTTTTCTTTCAAAAAATGCAACAAAGGTAAGTAAAAACCTTTCTATTCTGAATCGACATTAAAAACTTAAAAGCTAATATAAAAAAAAAAAAAAGGAAAAACATCTGTTCTACAAGTGACTGCTGTTCCATACTTTGCTTATTTGCAGCAATTTAAAAAAAAAAAAAAATGAGCACACAATATGATCACTGGGACGACCAGGGTGACTATATCACGATCTGGAAGAACCCATGTGGGAAGTTTTCTGAGAGGAGATGGGTCTTTAACCTAGCAGAAGAGGGCATGAGATTGGAAGGGACAGAGAGCTGTCATCGGTCAAGACTGGACCCCTTTCTAAAAAACCCTACAAGCCTACTGGTGCAAGCAGAAGTGGTGAGCCTGATGCAGAAATGACTGGGTGAGGTTTTCTGATCTTTTTAACATATAAACATCCAATGTGACCTAAGTTTTTTTGTTAAGCTCTTCAGTCCTTGGTCAACTAATCTAAAAATGCATAACAGATTAGCACAGGGTCAGTTAACATGCAACAAAACACTTTCAATTTAAAATTGGACTTATAATATATTAACTTAATAGATCCACAGCGCTGCTTGCAAATATGCCCCTATTACAACACAAACTCTTGTAGCGATTCAATCCATCTTCCCCTCGTTACATTTCTGTGTCTATTACTGTCTGGATCAGTTAAATTAACAATGCCACGTACTTAAAAGCCTAAAATCACAATAATGCACCATACTCAAATAAAATCTACAGAGACTTCTTGCGACATTATTTAAATAAAGTGTGAATGACAAAAGTTTATTAAACACATTTTTAAAAAATTATATCTTTCTTAAATAAGGATTTCTCAATGTGGATTTCATTGTAAAACAGTTTTGAAGCAATTCATAAGTTACTTTATTTAATAACAGGTTGATCAATAAAAAAAGTCATTTACTTTTATACTGTAGTCTTCAAGCCAACCATATTTCAAACAAACGCACGACATACGGTTTCTTCCATCAAACGCTAAGCAATGTCAATGCAGCTTAGTTGGATAAAAACAGCTCCATTTTTACTTGTAAACATTTAGATCGAGAGGAGGCAAGATATTGCATCAGTTCTTAGATCCCCCCCCGTCAAAAGCTTGCCATTAAGTGCATGTTTTATTCAAGAGATAATATTCCAGATTTAAAAAACAAAAAACAAAAAAATCCCACACTCTAGAAGTGCATTTTTTACAAATAATAGACCGAAACAATGCATGAGAAGATTTAGCCATGGCAATTTCACTGGAGCTTTATTGCCTCTGTTGGTAACGAGGGATTTTTAAGAAGTTACATTTGAACTTACAGAGATACGCAGATGATGTTCTTCACTAAATATAGTTTTGATCTCAAGTGTTTTATATCAGGGCACTTCTTCGTTTTGTACATTTTCCATGTATTAAAAACCATAGGTTACAAGTTGTAAATGTTTACCCTTTTCAACATTTGGCAAAACACGGCTGATTCAGTAAGGGGAAATCATCAAACTGAGGACTCAAGCACTTATGAATCAAATCAAGCCAAGTAGGTAACTGTTTGAATCCTTAAAAATACAAACAAACAAAAAAAACCCGCAAAAAACCCCCACACACATATATAAAGGAAAAACACATGGCCACATATCTGAGCACTTTTCAATACAAAATGTTCCCTGTAACCAGGCATTTGTCCTTAAAAGAACAATACCCTGTTAAATCAAACTTGTTTTCAACCGCAAATCATTTATTTTGTTAAATTCTAAGATGCCATTATAGCATGAATAACTTTAAGTTTCTTGCTACATAATTATTTGAAGCGTTAGGTATTGTACTTTTGTTTTATAATTACACAGTAATTATAAGTGTATAGTACCAAACTGATGACAACACTATTTTGTTGAAAAGGTCTCGCATTCAAAAGGAGTATTCTTTAAAACACCACGGCATTATGCCACTAACCAATACCAGACTTCTGTGAAAGACAAATCTGTATCGGGATAAAAGCTAATTAGTTCTCATCTCAAAACACGGCATACTTGAACTAATCAATCTGAAACTGTACTGTACCAAACCCTCAAGACGGAAAACAGCACGCATATATACCTTGTAACGTTCTCTTCATAATTCAAGTCCTCGCTTGTATTTACACAAAATTAAGGATGGAAATACTGAAAGCAGCAAAAAGAAACATTTTTGGCATAGCCAATTCCGGTAGCTGGAGTAGAAATTTGCAATATTTTTTTATGTTTGTAGGTCTGGATTTGGAAATAAAGGAGTGACTAGGCTTTATTAAAAGGGCACTGTCAGGAGGGGAAGCAACCTTCTCACCCACTTCAAAGCAGTTTAATACTCAACTTTTCCTAAATTTTTTTCTTTTTTGCATCTGTATAAAAAAAACCATACAGCTCTTTTTAGTGCAAGTTCCATTTACTAATTTCAACAGTAATTCGGACTTGAATATCAGACAGCCAGGAGTCTTCAACCCCTGTTCCTAATGACTATAATCACTTTTTTTAGACTGAAGTTTGACATTTTCTTGCTTTTTACAGAACAGTATTGGTCTCAAAACAACCAAAAGCCTCCCTCACAAGTCAGCAGGTGCAGAGTGAGTGTTTTCAGCATGAAAGAAGCTCCTGTAATGTAAAAAGCACAGAACAAGATAAAATCCTGCTTTGAAGTGACAACAGTCCCAATTTAGTTCCACGCAATGAGGCACACAGAAGTAGTGGTAGATCAACAAAATAATTTAAGGAAACAAAAGAAGCCAGTATGATATTCTGTATCTGATTAAGTTTGGGAAGCGTTTTACTTTTAAAATGTCTATATTTGGCAACCACAGTGATCTGTCATCTTTAACAGCTCAACAAAAATCACTGAACATGGGCTTTGTCCAGAACAGCAATACACATACATTGTCAAGTTTTAAATTACACGTCTCAGGACAATCACTTCAAACCTCAGATTCGTGTCAGACTTGCCACAGGGTCATTGGTTCTCTCCTACTGCAGCCGTAAGTCCAATGCCTCCATTTAAAAATACTGTATTGTGCAGCAAACATTAAGACACAAATTCAGTATATTCAAGTTTTAAATTTCTACAGAAATGAAAAAAAAACCTTCTTGGACAGATAGGTAAGCATCTCAAAACTGTAATGAAATTGGATTTATTAGATAACCTAGAGAATATTAGATTCTATCATTATGCACACAACTCATCTCAATGAAGCTCACTGAAGGCTGACTATAGTATTAAACATGGGTACTATAAGTGCACAGTAGTTGCGTAGTACTTCAACTGCTCTTAAAGAAAGTTGAGGTACAATAAAACCTTTCAGATAGGCACCTAGATATCCCAATAACAATCTCACTTTTGTTGGTTGTTTCTACTCAAACCCCACTTAGACAATACCTGTAATTTTCCATAAAAGAAAAATATCGGATCCAGTACACTTAAATATATCACTCTTGTAGGAAGTGCTATCAATATAGTCTTTGCAACTAGCCCAAAGTGTATATTTAAGGAGTTTAAAAAAAAATATTTGATGCTGATCTGTGTAATTCGGATGCCAAACATCAGTTGTCCAATGAAGACAGCATTGTGCTTCATGTGAAACCAGAAACCTCAAAATAATCATAAAGCTTCTCAGATAGGAAAATAAAACTAGGGTGGTTCACAAAAAATGATGAAATCCACAATGTTGGAATTATAACTGGCAAAAGTGGTCCAGACTAGAAGAGAAGCCCAAACCACCAGGAGAAGAATGCAATACGATATGGTCCAAGATGTATCCTTAAAGGTTTGTCTCAACCCTCAACCCTTATTGTGAGGATTGAACTTCAGTTCAGTTCAGTCCAGCCAGCAGAAATTGACTGTGCAATTTTCCATTGTATTTATTTGTACACACTATGTACATTCTAGAAGGGTCCGTTAGTGCTACACTGTCGTACTTTTTGTCCCAGCAATTTGAGGGCGTGCAAATTCCACAAAGTCATCAATAAGAACTGGCCATGCCCCTAAAAGAGACGGAGAAAGAAAAAAAAAACAACACGCATACACACCAGAACATAAGAAAGTCAGGGCAACAAAACCATCATCTGTCCAAACTAGTTTCATACTTTAAAAAAAAAAAAAAAAAAAAAAAAAAAAATTCTTTTAATTAAATAAAATTCTTCCCCTTTTAAATGTTTTCTGTGTTAAGTTTTAAATGAAAAATCCATGTTTAATTCAGTTACTTGAGACTGAAGAGCTAGTTTAAGATTTTTCCACCCTAAACCAAGACAACCCCCCCCCCAAATTAAACATGCACAATTTTTCATGTCACAACCTTACTAAGGAAAGCTGGGCAAGGCTCCTTCCACTCGACAGGGCATCCGCCCGGGAAGAGTGTGGCAACACAATCTCTGCAGGCTGTCCTTGTCTGGCTAAACGAGGCTAAGTTACACAAAGAGCTCTTTGCTGGTATGGGATACCATGCATCAAAGTGTTCCTACAACACATGCACCTATACCAGCAAGGCTGCACCTGCACAGTAAACCAAGCTAGAGTGATAAAAGCACTATATCAGCCTCTATTTGCCATCTTAAACTGCATTCACAATAGGGGCATCTGCTGGCACAGCCGTCAGAGGGGGGTCACACCCCTGGCAGTTCTGATCCACACACAGTTGTGCTAGCAGGAGCCTCTAATGTAGGCCTGGCCCCAACGAGGATCCAGAACTGAAATCTGGTCTCTAGTAGGGTAACAGGTGCTGCAGATTTCTTACGAATTATAAAAAGGGGCGTCTGGACCAAGCAACAGCAAGAGAGTAAAGTACTATAATTAGTAACAGCTAACAACGACTGCATGTCGATGTAGTGTTCAGATGCTGAAATCAGCACGTGTCATTTCAAGACAAAAAAAAAAAATCTGTTACTGCAGATGCTGTAGGGTAGGGGTTCTTTAACTGGGGCCTACAAACTACACCCATCCTTTTCATTTAGAAGGGAGAACAGCCCCTTATTCAAGGAATACGCAGGTTTGCTTAGGAGGGCATCTGTGCACACACTGATGCACAGGTTCTACGTAACAGCCTCCTACACACTCCATCCCCTGTGTATTCCTGGCCTCATTTTACTATCACTGCTGACAGGGCTAACCATTCAAAACTATTCTTACACAGAGAAACAGCAAAAGCAGGAGTCTTGCACAGGCTCCTCACTAACTGATTTGCTAGAGGAAGCATAAAGTATTAGATTTTATTTTTTTTTAATAAATAGCAGAGTTGCAGACTAAGGCTGCTTGAAGATGTGAAAACAGCGCTTTACTTTAAATTCAGCCCGCTCCCGTGCCAAGCCCAGAGCATGTGCAGAAGGGGCAGTGCGTTAATCCAACCCAGCTCTGCAGCATCTGTATAGATCAGGTACTTTTAGTGGGGCTTTTGGGGCGCTTTTATTTAACAGCTGTTTGAATCGGCTTTAGACAAAAGCACCAAAAAAACCCTGCTGAAGGGCTCAATCCATACAGATGCTGCAGAGCCAGGTCGAACCAAGGTGATGCTTCTTCTGGTACAGCATGTTTGGGTTTTGGTTTGTTTGGGGGGGGGGGGGGGGAAGGTTTTCACATCTGCAAACAGCCTATTTGTTTTATGGAGGGAAGAGCTGATTATTTTAGGTTGCCAGGAAAGAATAAAAAAAGGTGCCAGTTTATACTTTTTTCTTTTTAAATGCACATGGTTTGGGGGCTGTGAAGGACTGTCAAAGAAACCCATCAATCCCAGCACAAGTCATCATGCCATAGGGAGGACACTAATTACCTGCCACTGGGTAGGTACAATACACCAAAAACAGTGCTAAGTGAACTGTATAGTTACACATTAAGAAACTGGTAACACAAAAAGGAAACATTACCTTCCTCATCATAATTAGACATATCATCTGCTATCATTGTACTGAAGTCTAAAAGAAGGTTCCAGGTATCCTTAGGTATTGATCTTTTATGATGTTCCTATTTGGGGAAAAATATCTGCATTTAAAAACCATGAAGAAAATGAAAATTAAAGTCCACACACACAACAATACTCCAATATATCACACTTGATATTACACTTGAGAATGTCCCAAGTCCCCCAAACATTTCTCTTGTACTTGCCACAAATATTATTTATTCATGTCTTACAATATCAATGTTCTGTATTTAACTCATGGCATCTAGTCAACACTTCAACTAGAGGTGCACCGATACGTCGGTCCAATATCGGATCGGCACCAATCTAAAGAAAATTGACTATATCAGAAATCATCTTTTTTTGCCTGATCCAGCCGATAATTTGGCTGATAAATGCCCCGTGCATGCGCGCAGCTGCAGCATGCACGGGAGTGCAGCCTGGCAGCATGGAGAGCTGCGTCCAGCTGATAAGTGTGTTATGGTGGAAGGGGAGGGGGAAGGGAGGAGTGGGGGGGATATCAAGGCCCCTGCGGTGAAGGAGTGGGGCAGGGGCAGGGGCTGCCCAGCCAGGATGGGGAGGGGCACGGGACAGAGCCACGGCTCATCTGAGGGAAGTGGGCAGCTCCCGACACCGCACGTACCCAGGGAGGGCATGGGGGAGCACATGCCCCACAGTTCTGCGCAGGGCAGGGTGGCTGCCACTGTGGGCTGGTTCCAGGGTGGAGCTGGGCTCTTCCCAGCAGGGGCCGGACCAGGCTGCGCTCAGGGCGGGTGGCGGTGGTGCTGGGAAGGGGTATGGGGGAAGGCTGCAGCCACCCCAAAATTCACTATAGCCCCCCAACCGCCCTCCCAGCACTGCCGCTGCCCACCCCGAGCGCAGCCCAGCCCAGCCCCTGCCCAGAAGAGCCCAACACAGCCCCGGCCCCAGCCTGCAGCAGCAGGCGCCCCACCCCGCGCACAGATCTGGGGGGGGCACATGCCTCCCCCACCCCCAGCCCCCATGTTCTCCTGGGGTGCGCGCAGCGGTGGGAGCCTCCCCGCTCCCCGCACCTCCTGGACAAGCCATGGCTCTGTCCCATGCCCCATCCTGCCGCCGCTGGGCAGCATCTGACCCAGCCCTTGCCCCACTCCCTCCCTCCCTGCAGAGGCCTCAATCTGCCCCCCTCCCTTCCATCACAATAGACTTACCAACCAGACAGTGCTCTTCAAGCTGCAAGGCTGCATATCAGAAATCGATCAGTATTGGCCGATATGCCTCCTTAAAAATCAGCTATCAGTATCAGCCCAAAAAATCTCTATCGGTGCACCCCTAACTTCAACTACATGGATTAAATCTTGCTAATTGAAAAAAAAAATACTGAAGCCCACTTATGTGAAAGGTTTGAACTTACCAACAAAAATTTGTTCCACAAGTCTAGAAATTTAAATCTTCCATTAAGTACTAAATTCCAGTAGGCAATGGCCATTTCTAAATCTGTAATATTAAAATATATTACTCTTAGAGATATATTTGAAAGGTACTCTTCTCTATAGGTATTTGTGCTAAGTCTGAACAGACTTTAAAAACTAATGAAGGAGAAAAAAAAACAAGTCACCCAATGCTAGTACACTCTTCTTTCTAAATCTTTGTTAAAAAACAATGAACACTAGTGAACACTGAGGAAACCGTAATGGGTTTTGTTTCACTAAGCAATTGCCTTTAGATTTTGATAGGACCTCTGGAGCAAACTAGATCAGAAGAAGAATTTCAGTAGTTCAAATTTGATTGTTTTGCCCAGAATAAACACTTGATCTGAGCCTTCAAGACCTTTAACTTTTCTCTTACTCTGATTTAGCAATTTGGGCTCATTTCTGAAAGTGCTTTGTATGTACAGATCCTAACAACTTCATAAGGAATAGACTCCTCTAATCATTTGTATCTTTAAAAAAGTAATAAAAAGACTTTAAACAATAAAAAAATTATACAACTGTTGCACAAATTGGGGGGGAGGGGGGAGGAGGGAGTAGGACCTATACAGTTGCAACACCCTTCCTTTTTTTTTTCCTCTTTACTGCAAAGACTGCATAATACACTTGACAGTGCTCCTTTAACAAAATATGCGTAGGCGCTGAGGCTGCCCATGCCACTTGCAGAGCTTATGTTGCAGTTTGTGGCCACCCCTGATTTAAAAGATCAGTCCTCCTCAATTTTGGATTGAAGCATAGAGGTGGCATCAGATTAGCTCAGCCACTAAAATGTCTAATATATGCATACGTGAACTACAAAGTTTCAAAGGCTTGTAACTTGCGTAGATTCTAGCAAGCAGGGCACAAGGTATATCCCAGTTGTCAAGGCCCAAAACCTGCCTAATGTGGAGTCCCTGCTCCAAAGTGCAAGGCGACTATAATATCTTTCCTTTAAGAGTTCTCTTGATTGTTTTAAACGTGGGCAAATGGCCTTTGTTCTCTAACCACTCTCTCAAAACGGCTGACCTATTTCTGCTCAAGATTTAAAAACAGATACATCTATATACATAAGCCTAGGGTAGTAATCCACCACAAAAACAGCACCTTGATGCAGTATGGCAAAGTTGCTTGTAACTTGAACAGGCTCTTAAGATGGCATGTGTTTGGCAATCCTGATAATAAGCAATACTATTAATTCTAGTTAGAAACAAGAAAGCAGCAAAAAGTTTTAAACTCTCATAAATAGGGATCTACCTACATCGCATCAGAAGTGTGCTGTGCAGTGGCTCCTTTAATCTTGCTCTTTTTGCCATTCAACTCCCTCCAACCGCCAACTGGCAGAGGGGCCCTGGCAGCCCCACTGCTTGCTCCGATCAGCACTTCTGGCACAATTTATAGTTTCATGGTTGGTAGGGTTGGAAAGGACCTGAGCAGATCATCAAGTCTGACCCCCTGCCACAGCAGGAAGAAGTACTGGGGTCAAACAACCCCAGCAAGGTGTTCGTCTAACCTCCTCTTAAAGACCCCCAGGGTAGGAGCCAGCACCACTTCGCTTGGAAGTTGGTTCCAG